ACAAACTAGGGCTGCTCGATTATGGCAAAAATTACGTTAGAAATCCCAATTATTTTTGGTCAATAATTGAAATCACGATTATTACATTTGATTATTCATTGACTTTGAAAACATCAATTTATTGAACTTTAAAACAAATAATAATTTGAACAGTATATTTTTAACTGTTGATTACCCTGAACGTATAATTAAACGGAAAAACCAATACAAAAATAAAAAATAAATGATATATTTAAATAAATAATATCCAAATAAATACCAATAAACAAGATCAACAAATATTTTGGAGCGCACTTCCACTACTAAACATATATAAATAAAAACTAATTAGACTAAAATTAATCAGATCAAATATGTTCTAGTGCACTGTCACAACCTAGCAAAGCTAAATCGTTTTTTTCGATGTTTTCGTAATTGCGATTAAAATATGATAAATTGCACAACCCTAACACACACACACACACACACACACACAGTTGTGTACTGTTATGCTGTTATGTTCAGTCATTATTCTTATGTTGAACATGAATACATTTACTTTGTAAGTAATTATGGGACGCATTTCTTCTTTCATAGCAATTTTCCTTCATACTTTCTTGCTGTGAAATAGGTCTTAAATTCTATTCAAAGTGGTCTTAAAAAGGTCTTAAAGTCTTAAATTTGAGTTGGCGAAACCTGCAGGAACCCTGTTCATGTAGTGTTCATCATTAGTCACTGCTTCCATTGGGTTTGGAGTAGAGGAGACCTAAGTAGATGGTTTAGCTCTTGGTTAAAAACCTCCTAAACGATAGAGGAATCCCAACTGACTGCGATTACAGCAAGGGCAGTGATGGACTACCATAAACCAACACTGACGAGGCCACCACATTTGAAGTATTTTGTTATTGTTAAGACTCCTTGTGGCGGCATTATTTACTATTTTATTCCATTTTATAACAATGCATACCTTTTTTATTTTTTATTTTAGCTAGGTTTTTTTATACTCTAAAAGGCTGATCTTGTATTTATATTGACACACTTTCTCGTCCACTCCCAGCATGCAGCAGTCACTAACAATCCTTGTCCCCCGGGTTTGGCCCTTCTTGAGACACACCATATCATCAGTCAGACGGGCAGCGCTGGAAACCCTTTTCACGCTGCTGTCAAAAGCTGACGAGGTAAATATGACAGAGCAGTTAGATATTAGTTTGACAAAGTACTTGTCAATCAGAAATACATAAAGGGCAATGTTTGGTACAAAGCATGTTTTGCTTTACGTTCTTCAGAGCTGTGCGATGTGGATCAATCCTATCCTACAAGATATGCTGCGGCACATGTTCCAGTCCTGCATACTGGAGAGCAATGAGGAAATCCTGGAGCTCATTCAAAAGGTTTGTTGCATCACACTAAGTTTGATTTTTGGAAACATTGCATTAATCTATCAAATTCCCATCGTAAGGGATATTTTTTCTCTACACTTGGACAAGTCTCACTTTTTCTTCTTGTATCCGGAAGTCCTTTTTCTGCTTTGTATGGATTAAGCCTTAATTTGTGTGATGTCTGTGTGCAGGTGTGGATGGAGCTGCTGTCTCAGGCCCCGCATCAGTTCGTGGTGGCAGCCAGCTGTCCCTGGATGGGCGCCTGGCTCTGTCTCATGATGCAGGCCTCACAAATTCCCATAGACGTCAACATGCTGCTGGAAGTGAAGGCCCGCTCTAAGGTTGTACGCTTTAATCATGGCTAAATAAAAAAAAATAGTTTCTTGGTCTACTTCTGTATTTATTGTGTATGCAGTATTATATTTATTGTGTATGCAGTATTATAATACTAAAACATGTGTAAGCTGATATGTGTAATAATCAATTTTGTTTTGATGCAACAGGATAAGGCTGGCGCAAAGGGACGTCAGTGTACCATTCAGGTGAAGGAGACGCTGCAGGAGTATATAGCTGGAGCGGAAACGGTGACTGAGGACTCTGTGACGAGGGACTACGTGGTGGTTCGATCCCGCCTCATGGCTGCCAGGTAGGTTTTGATATTTGCATCACAAGATAGGAAAAAATGTCATGGGGCCTCATTTAGAAACGTGGCGTACACTCTGAAGATGGAGAGCACCAATTTCTAAGCAATGTTTCCAATTTTATAAAAAAGAAAACTTGACAAGAAAATGTGCAGTCCTCCACGGACACTTTGATCCATGCGTACACACAAAAACGGGAGAAATTAGAAACTGCGACACCATTGGTTGTAGGATGAAGGGGGGGGAAACAATCTTAGAATGAATAAACAAATGCCTGTTTATTTCTCCTGAGTGCACAAAAAAACATAAAATAGAGGAATAAATAAATAAGAATGTTATTGCAAACAACCCCTCGAATATGTTCTCATTATTACAGGCTGCCGTGCTTGTATGTTATAAAATGTATTTTCATAAATTATTCAGTTTTATAAATGAGGCCCCTGATCTTGAAGTGAACTTTGACTTTCTCTCACTAAACTGACATTTCCTGATATGGTTTTGAACAGTTCTGACAGTTTGCCTGCTCTCTTTGTGTCTCTGTAATCCAGGCTGCTGGGGGCTCTGTGTAGGTGTATCTGTGACCCTCAGGTCAACGCTGCGTCTCAGGAGATCCGACCAGCCGAGTCTTTAGGCCAGCTGTTGCTCTTCCACCTCAACTCTAAGTCTGCCCTGCAGCGCATAGCTGTGTCTCTGGTGCTGTGTGAGTGGGCTGCACTGCAGAAGGTGAAAAGCTCTTAGTTTGTTTATTGTGGATTAAAGGTTTTGGGGATTTAGTATGAGCCTAACGGAAGTCTCTCTTCCAGGACTGTCAGGTGGTGTCATCCATCGTGCAGCCTCGCCTTCTGGCCATTCTGTCAGAGCATCTGTACTACGATGAGATCGCCATCCCCTTCACACGCATGCAGAATGAATGCAAGCAGCTCATTGCTCTGCTGGCTGACGCAAATATAGACCTGCAGGATCGCCTCAACTGCAGCGTGTTCACTATCGATCAAGCTAATGAACTGGTAAGTGAAGCCACACATGTCAGGAAATCTGAATCATTTATTTATCCCACAGTGGGGACATGTATTTAGAGTATTAAAGGTCCCATGTCATGGCCATTTCTACTGATCGTAATTCCATTGTTGAGGTCTACTAAAATAGATTTATACTGTGCAATTTTCCAAACTCACATTGGTTTCTCTTACAGCATCTCTGTATAGTATGTTTATTCACTCTCTGGCCTACACGCCTTGTTGGAGCTCNAAATACCGTAGCTAAACACCATCATACAACAGCTCTGAATATAGCTCTTGTCTCACACACACACACACACACACACACACACACACACACACACACACAGTGTGTGTGTGTGTGTGTGTGTGTGTGTGTGTGTGTGTGTGTGTGTGAGACAAGAGCTATATTCAGAGCTGTTGTATGATGGTGTTTAGCTACGGTATTTAGCGTCTACAGCACATCCGCGTTTAGGGTTGACGTCGCCCAGAGGTCCCCCGGGGTTGTTGCGGGAGCTGCTGCACTAGCTAACGCTGCACTAGCTAATGCTACATTAGCAACACAAACGCTAATTTATTTTGTAAGAGGTGCAGCGGGCTTCAAACACATTCCCTCCACTGGTTTCAACCAAGTACTACATTTGATTTTTTCCAACCAAAGACGATTGAACTTACACTTCCCCAAATGTATTTGTAAGTAGATTTGAAGATACATGAGTTTGTGACTGCCGCTAGCTGAAGCTGGGTTGCTAGGTTACTAGCTGGGTGTTCTCCAATAAGGGGCCGGGGGAAAGAAAGTTAGTGATGTTCGTGGTTCCATGTTGATTTATTTCAATACAAATTGTTGGGGGGGAACTGAAGGGCTCTTACCGTACTGGTTACTTTGCAGCCCGGACATTTCCCCCATAACACATTTAGAAGCGTTCGCAACACAGAAGTACCTTTCAAATCAAATTTAAGACCTTCTAAATCATATTTAAGACCTTTCTCATTTTTTTGGTCATATTTAAGACCTTTTTAAGGCCTTACATTCAGATTATCAAATTTAAGACTTTTTAAGACTTTTTAAGAGCCCGCGGGAACCCTGATGAAGCAGTTTTAAAGTTAAGAACTGTTTTTCCAATGCTTTTCAGCTGCTGTCAAGTCGGTAGCCTTTTTTTTTTGTGAGCGTCCGTGAGACTGACCTGCACAGACGGACCCTCGGATAGGTGAGGAGCAAAGACAGCAACGTCATGATGCTGTTTGTGGACGAAGTGAGGTCATCCAAGTCCAAAAGAGCATCCCATAGTGTGTTCACAATGAAGGGCACCTGAGAGAGACACAATTAACTAGGACCTGCAAAATGAGGATTAATGCGTAAAATGGTACAGATGACAGACGAGCTGAAACGTGAGGAAGATAGTTAAAAAAAAAATCTGTACTATTGAGTGGTGCAGCGATCAAGTTTTTTGATACTTACACGTTTTGTTCAGCAAGAAAATCTCTACATATTTACGATTGTGTATGCAATCGCCAGAAGTAAAAAGCTACAGTTAGACTGTTAACAACATTTACAAGCAAGGTGTTTACTGACATATTTTGTCTCATAGAAACAAACGTGACAATCTATTAAGCTTTCGTAACTACAGACCTTATTTCAGGCATCCAACCGAAAGCTCTTTCAAAAACCTTTGACGTCGAGGTGAAGGAACCAGAAGTGGTAAAAATGCTAATTTCCGGGTTTCAGGACTCATTTCTGTGAAACTGTATTGCATCCATACTTGCCAACCCTCACGATTTTCGCGGGAGACTCCCGATTTCATTGCCCTCTCCCGGGGTCATATTTCTCTGACCAAATCAGATTTACTCACGACTGTTTCCACTCTGACTTTAATACAGCTACACCATTGAGAGGGTGAGGCAGATAGTCACAGAAAACAGAAGAAGAATCGACAACTCGACCCTCTGCTCACTCCTTTCCTGTAAAATACAGGTCCAACCCACACATATGCTCCATCAAGACAGTTGCACTTACCAACTACAATAAGCATGTTAACCGTAATCTAATACTGCGACCCACTAGCACCCCCCCCCGCGGTGGTCTTGAAATGCTCCCGATTTCTGAGGTCTCAAGGTTGGCAAGTATGATTGCATCCCCACCTCATTAGGCAGCTGCTGTACCAAGCCTTCCACCACAGGGATGAGGGCGGAGGCGGCCACGGCCCTAACGTCATCATCCAGGTCCTGCAGGCCTTCAGTGATGGCAGTGAGCACCCGGGGCAGCAAAACGGAGATCAGGTCCTGAGAAAACAGGGTGAGAAGAAATGATCGTTACACTGACATTTCTCAACATATCCAATAAAATAAAAGGTTTCCATCCATACATACAGTATATGCCTCATACCCCACATCTACATTGATGACCATATGGCACTCCTATCAAAAACATTGTAGAACCCTGCTATGCCTATATATGATAAATACACACAGAACGGGTGGGGTGGTACCTTTCGGACAGCCAGGGCGTACTTGATCCCGAGCAGGCCTCCATGACGGACCTCCCACTGGTCTTCTTTTAACAGCTTCAGCAGCACGTCCACTATCATGGAAACACCCGTTTCACTCATGTGCCGGAGGGCCACACCGAGGGCCTGGGCACACGTCTCCCGGACAGGAGCCACCACCTGGAGGGAGACATAGAGGTTGGGTTTTTTTTAACTGCATTTTTTTTAACTGCATTGAGCTTGTTAATATATCTGGATGTTGGGGGTATAGTACGATGCCTATTCGATAACATATTTGTTACACTGATATGCCTACGTAAAAGTGTCATTATGTTTAGGTTCAATAGAGAGTTTTATCTCAATAAAGTGTGTTATACCCTCAACATACAATATTTTCACAGCAGTGTTTCCCCTACCATTGTCTTGGAGGGGCGCTGCGCCCCGCCAACGGAGCCCCGCCAACGGAGCCCCGCGCCCCCCCTGAAATACAAGGTGTTTAAAAAAATAAAAATTATAATCTTTTTATTTATTTATTTGGAACCAAATTGCAACACATCTATATCTACTGTCACTTTTCACATTGTACATGTGCCCTTTTATTAAATAAACTAAACGCTTTCATTTTAAGTTGTGCGTTTATTGTTTTTGACCCTAAGAAACACTTATGCACTAATCAATAACAACAATCCAAAGCTCCTCTCTCTGCTCCAGAGGATTTATGAAAAATATAGATCCCAATGACACCACCACAGGCAGCACACCCTCAAAGTAGTAAACCTAGGGGAAACACTGCACAGTATAACATTACATTTTACAACATTAACAAAATAACCATTTTGTCATTTGAAAGTAAATTGTTTTTGTCTGAATAATAAGTCGAACTTTAGAATTATTAATGAAATAAAATTGTAGGCAGTAACAATGTATTTTTAAATCATAATTTGTGCATTGATATTTCATATTTATTAATTGTTGTATTATTGACAGCCTGACCTTATGAAGGAATGTAGATTACTATTTGTTCTTATCTTAAATGTAGATCTTACACGCCCTTAAAGTAATGACTAAATAAATAAGAACCTGCCAAACAACAACAAGAGGACTATTTTATCGATTGATCAAAGTGGAGGTTGGCTTGACTGCAGTGGGTATTTTTTGAGCCAGAGAGTGTCTTTATTTATAGATGCAGTTAAAAAGGGGGATATGGGCTATCCGGCAGCTTCAAAACACGTTTTATCTCACTCTGGTACTTCGCCCGTTTTTCCTCCAGGCTCTCTTTCCCCGTTTCTATCCAAATAAAATCTGTCACACGCTCACCCAGAGTGGTCTACATTTGTGGAGAGCGCAAAACCCCAAACCAAATCTCATGCCAGCAACTTATTAAGATTACGTGACAATTCGTAATTAAAGTTGAGGATATATTCAAGCACATGCAGTTATAACAAGCCTAAATACATCTAGTAAAAATCGATATTACCCACCTCATCAGATACAAAATCTCCAAAGCGGTCCAGAGCAAAGACGCAGAGCAGCCGGATGACCAGGTCCTCTATCCACTCCTGATGCTGCCGCAACATCTGGATCAGAACAGCAGACAGTTAGTGCCATGTTTCATTGTCACAGTATTATTTTAAAAAACCTGAAGAGAAGAGTAAGACATACCTGCTCTGCAGTGCTTCCCACCAGCTTCCCCCCACCAGCACCTTGGGACTTGAGGATTTCTCTAAGACCTGTGCCAGCACCATGGCGGATCTGTAAACAAAAAAATTTAAATTCATTCTGCACTGGTCACAGAAAAAGGAGCAAGTTTTAGTTTTGTTGGTAACCTCTTGTTAACATGTGAGTCGTAGATTGAGCGTTCTAGTCAAGCCTCCTTCTCATGTTTTTATATGCACAATCAGCTCAAATTTATTTGAAGTGCTTTGTTTTTACCTCCCATGAAGGATTGAAGAGGTCGTTGCAGAGCTCCTCACAGAAGCTCTCCAGAGGCCACTCCTGTATCTTAAGACAAAACAATAAGGCATCTGTGACATCATCAGGACTTCACATCAATGAGTTAATGTATTGCTTCTTATTTCCTTACCTCCTCTAAAAGACCCGAGTTATCTGAAACGTTGTCGATTTTGTCTTCTGTTGCCGGTTGGTCAATAACTACATTGGTGGTTTTCCGGCGTTTCTCATCGGGTTCGCCCTCAAAACTGTCGTTACTAAAAGAGTTGGGAGATAAAAGTCAAACATGTTATTATAATCAATCAAACTTTACATATAACATTATACTGCTGCAAAACAGTTACATGTTTCAACCCGTTCTCATTTGATCCTATTAGATATTTCTGGAGAATGTTCCTAATTTGTAAATGAATTATTTAACAATGGCCAAAAAGTATTTTAAGTTACAGTAACCTCAACCGTTACATTTGAATCCTTTCATTCGCTAGTGCAAAAAGATACATTTAAACATTAAATTAGAAGATATTACTTCAGATTTTGAAAACCATGACATTTTTATAGAACCAATCGGGAGAATAATCCACAGATCAATTGCTAATGTAAATAAAGAGAGCTAGCAGTTAGCAGGTGTTGGTGATCTCACCTCTTTTCATTGGGATCCATGTCTCTAGATCTGTGTTTGGCCACGAGCTTGGCCATCCTCTTAGCCTTATTTTTCTGGCGATTGCTCATGCCTGGCCTAAACTCTGAGTCAATCAAGTCAGCAGCCTGAATGAATTAAAAACACTAGTTGATTATTCATTTCAAGATTTAAACACACATCTTAAGGTGCAAAACGATGAACATAAAGACTACTGCAAAAATCATTTCATGTTTATTTACAGGCTCAAAGCACCACACGTCTTTTAATTGCTGCATCACTTTGATAAATCTACCCTTCCACGCTCAAACCGCATCAGTTTGCAGAGGCTCACTATATTCTCATTCCCAAATCATTTTGATTATTTTTCATGGTGTAAGGATTTCTGCTGTATGAAGCACCATACTCTGCACAACTGCACCTACCACATGCATCAGACAATTAGATTAGAGTGGGAGGCAGGGGAGGGGAGGTTCCATGAATAATAGTGAATCTATTAAATCACCAAAAGAAGATCAATGAATAGCTTTAATGTGTCATGTGGTTTGGTTTCTGTTAAGAGATAAAGCACTTTTGGGGAATTATACCGTTTTTTTCCCCACTTTCTCGGAGTCAGACATTAATAAATAAAAATGTATCTAATGTAGTCTAAAGTTAATTTCAAACAGGATTATACTCTAAATAGGCATCTATTCATCTAAGGATTCAAACCACATAGTTGCAATCCCATAAGAATCCAGAATTTCATAAACAACAAACCAAAGGGAGGTGAGAAGTTGTCCTAGTGTTGTCTAATTAATCTGTATATGTGTGTGTGTATATATATATATATATATATATCAAAACAAAGTAACACCCATGGGAAACAATAATAAGTACAAATAATGTTCTTATATGTAGCAAATAAAAAATACATAATATTCATTATTTAAAGGAAAACTGCAAATGTATATTCTTCAGAAAGATGATATCGAACAATTAGCCGCCATGGAGTCAGTTATTCTTCAGGTAGCTCTCGTCTCGAGAAGGTTGGTGACCCCTGTATTATACCAATAGGCAGCATTTTATCCAGCACTTATTTTATTTGATCTAATTCTATATAACATGCAGTGTTTCCCCTATATACAAATAGTGGCGGCGCAGCGCCGCTGCTGAAATATGCGCGCCGCTGCTAGGGGGCGCCAGCCAGGTACCAAAAAAAAAAGGATTCTTTTTTTTAAAACTTTTTTATTAAAATAATAATAAGTGGCAACCATTTTCATTTTTGATTGTTTGTTTTTTGGATTTGTGTTACTGTATGTTCAATAAAGGTGTATTTTTGCTAAATCTTGAGACATTGCCACTGTATGTACTAGGCAGGGCCGATTTTTGGCATTGGGCGCCAGATCTGTGGAGGCTGGAGAGCTGGTAGCTCTGGGAGGGGAAAAAACGTTTTGACCGTTGGCGCTCATTCTAATTTTCGGCCTTGATGTAACAACATTCATAATTAAGTAAATGTAAAACCCTTTTCACCGCGGTTACACTTTTCATTTGCCCTGTACGATGGGCGCTGTAAGTGATGAAAGTGGGGGATGTTGGCTTATCAGGCGCCCGCAGCTCACAGCCAAAGTGCGAGCGT